GGTGTACAAACCTACGGCCAAGCTCGTCTCCAAGACAACAGTTTCTGTCTTGGCAAATATGGTCAGCATTCAATATTCACACCATTGGAATTACAGGGCTGCCAACTTCCCCTCTCCCTGTCTGTGCATGTGTGAGGATCATGGCATAACTCTAAACTGCATCATAAATGTATTACAAGTTAGTCATTTAGATCTATGTTAGCATTCTCCAGAAATCTATCTTGACAAGCATGGCTAGTGAAACTATTCTTTTAAATTCTTGTCCATCTGTGGAGTCCGGACTTAGTTATATATTGGTGTAAGCTAATGGTCCCATCAATAGCGAGAAGATGGCACTAACCTGTAATTAAACATGATAGGCTGAGGAATTACTGGGATAGGAGATGTTTAAACGCCAGAAGCAGAGGCAATTAAGGAGTACTACTAGTTAGTATTGGGAATCAAGCTAAAAGCAAGAGATAGAAAATCAAGAGATGAATAAAATGATAGTACTAGTAGTATTATTAGTTTACTTCCAACCAAAGGTGGTTTTTCCAAAAGCCTCATAATCAATAAAAAAATGCCCAAGTACCCAAAGAAATGCGGTAAGCAGATCATTTTACAGTTCAAAGAAGCAATCTTGATTCTTAGAAGTACAAACATCAATATAAATTTCTTCTGCAACTCCACATGTAAGAGAAAGAAAGAAATGTTTAGAGCAACAATAATCAAATTGAAAGACGTAAACACACAAATATATTGGATGAGATATAATTCACTATAATAGATTTTTTCCACAACATCAGCATCACCTTCTACTTTCTACATTTATTTAATTGCAAGGTAAACTGACAAATTTTAGCAGCTAACTTGTACATAAGTACCCTCAAATCCTAAACATTCAGGCATTATTCCGAAAAGGTTCCAAGCCAAACTTTGACTAATTAACTAAGACTCAAACAAACAAGACACTCGAAACCAAAGACCAACTTGTTCTTTTGTTCACATAACAGTGTAAATTATAAGCTTAATATAATAATAATAACCGTATAGAATCAATACCACAAATTATAAAAAAAAAACCCCTAAAAAAATGTTTAATTGGCAAAAATTAAATTTTGATGTTACCTTCGTAAGCTCTAAATCTATCTGGAAAATCTGGAATAGTAGGGAGAGAGTAATTAGCGATCCAGGAGAGGAAGCATGAGAGAATGCACGGTGACGACAAATGTAGGCAACACCAGGCCAGCGGAGGTGGAGGCACAAGTCAACACAAAGAGGGGAAGGAAAAAACTGATAGAAACTAATTGGAACCCCATAATTTCAACTTGAGTTGTGCAAAAGGCAGGGAGTGGGGCATGGAAGGGTGGAGGCGGCAGCAAAAGTGCCTCTATCAACGTAATTGGAGGAGGAGGCGGCGGCGACGAAGAATGCTCCATCAGAGCTTCTGATATGGCGATCGATAATTGAAAGGGAAGGAGAGAGGTTTGCGTTTTTTCCATCCGTTTTATAGTTGACCCATTTTTGAGTTTTTACTCGTACAAGACCCGCGTGTCGACCCGATTAGGAATTCAGCTATGGAATTGGAATTATAATTCTTTTGGTCCGGCAAAGAATTGAGATTGTGGAATTGGAACCTCTTGGAATTAGAATTCAATGCTAATTCTATGGAAAATGCAGCGTCCAAATACAAGAATTAGAATTGGGGTTCCAATTCCAATTCTAAACCCCAATTCTATGGGATACCAAACGCACCCTTAGAGTCTTTCGTAGAATCTATATCTATATAAATTTGAGAAGGAATTTTTAGCAACAAACCTTCACAAACCTTCTCACTCTCAACTCTATTTTTCTAGCATTTTACATTTAATTTATTTCGTAAAAAAATATCATGGGCACGTTACACCCCTCACGTTTCCCTCAAACAAGAAGTTAACTCCAACTAACACTCCCACGTTTCCCTCAAACAAGAAGTTAACTCCCACCAATACTCCTTACACACCTTACTCCAACTAACACTCCTCACCCACTTTCCCACTACAATAAACATTTTCACAGATCATCTCCATGAAGGCAAGGTATACTGGTTTCAAAATATATATGTAATTCCGGCAAATCTTAAATATCGGCTTGCATCACATCAGTACCAATTATCATTTGGAAACGATATGAAGATAGTGAATATTTTAGATGATTGTGGAACCATACCCCGTTTCAAGTTTAATCTGGTCAAACTATGAGATACAGAACAACACATGGACAATGATTTACAATTGATAGGTATTTCATTCTTCATTAACCATACTTCTATTTAAGTTGCATATTTGAACTGGTATTACTTATACTTTTTGATCTTTTGCAAATGTAATTGGTTTAGTTGTATCTGTTGGTTCACACTATCAAACATCTATCAATAACAAAACTAAGTGTGACATACTTTTACTTGACAAAAGGTTAGTTAATAGATTCAATATCTTTAAAATATTTTATATTCTGCAAATTTTGATTGATACTTACCAAAATTCTCTAAATGAAGTTTGACAGTAGTTCGGTTGACTTTATGTGATAAATTTGCAACTAATGATGGTGAACACTTGCATCAAACTGTTATAAAAAATAATATTTTGCTAGCCTGTGGTATTTGTGTGAGAAATTATAAAGGTAATTCAATTTATTTTCACTTTATTTTATTTTATTTTATAGTTTATCAATAATATAGCACATTGTGCAGGACCGTCACTTTATACTATTCGAGCAAGCAAATTGTATGTCAATTACTACTTAGATTTTGCTCAATACCTATACAGTTGGTAAATTTTACAAATACCAAAATATTAAATTATTAATAATATTTCATACCCTTACGAATATGTATTTGAAAAATTTGCAGGTTTGAGAATGATAAATGTGCTCAGAAATTAGTGACGTGGTTGCGGTCATGCAAATTTACAATGTCCCAAGCATCGTTGATATCAAATGCTAAGAGAATATGGATATTCGAATATACAGTTCTACTTACGATACAATTCCTCTCAATTAATTAAGTGATGAACAAGTATCTATATGTAGTTTCGAATTAATAATTGTAATCTATACATTCTTTGGATGGTTTTAGGTTAAATATTTTCGGATACTTGCTTACATTCAAAGTATCAATATGGATAATATGTTCCATGAGTTATGCAAAAATTGTGGACAATCATGTCAATCTCATTTTGCAAAAATGGTGTGTATCCATTGTTATAATGTAGTCGACATTATTGTCAGGTAATTATTTTCATATATTTTAAATTTTAATATAATTTTTTGCATGATACATCATAATTTCTTCTTAACAGATACAATGTTAACATAGAAGTTAGAAATTCCAGTGGTAACCTATACCTCACTCTTCAAGACAAGCATGCACGATTCATATTTCGTTGTGATGCTTCTTATCTTAGAGATTTAAAAACAAAGGTATACATTATTTATATGTATATATTTTTATATAATATTATTTACAAACTGTCTAAAACAAAATATAATTTTGAATTATGTATGCTTTTAATTGTCAGGAAAATAGAGGTGCATTGTTTGACCAACACATTAATTCATGCAAAAATCGTGAATTCTCATTTATAGTACGAACTCCACAAAAATCAACAAAATTAATTAAATCCCCAATACTGGCGTTCGTACTCAGAGGTGATTGGTGTGAAAAATGTTTACACCTTCGTAGAAGATTATCAAATCAGAGGCAAAATATTTGTAAGTATTTCATTTACTTATCAAATTAAATATTCAATTATATTTAATTGGACCCTTATGTCACTCAATCTATGATATAGACTTCTATTTTTTTTTTCAGGATCCAACATTTATCAAAGTGATAGTTTATAAATAATGGAGATGTTTTTATCATATATTGAACTATTGTTACAAAGTTTCATTTTTTAAATATACTTTCATATGCCCGTGATTATTATATTTTACTTTTTTTTTAAAATTTCTCTATAGATTGTAATTTTTTTTCAAAAATATAATCTACTGTGCATAGCACGGGTATTTATACTAGTAAGAGTAAATTAGATGGTTATTGTTATAGGCAAAAAAAAAAAAAAAGAGCTAATCAACTTGCTACTCAATCACTTTATCATTAGGGAGTATTGATTCTTCGTTTTGACTTTTGACATTTTGAGTACTCAATTCTTGAATTTTGACATTTGTCTCTTGAATTTCGACATTACTCAAGCATTACCAAAAGTAAAAGTTTAGACACTTGCATTACCTTCAAGCTCTCTTATTTCAACTTTCTGCCCATACAACATGAAATCTCCCAAAGGAAAAAATAAGAAAAAAGAGAGAAAAAAAAACCAACCTTATTAAAATGCAATAGCTCAAGAACCTACATTAAATTCTTATCTCACTCTAATTACACATTGTTCGCTTCTTTTTTTTTTTCCTGTCATTAAAATTATTGGATATTTAGTTTATTTTTTGCTACTAGTTTATTATTTGCTCACGTGCAAATGTCAAACAAATGCTTCGCCCAATAGGGCTTAATTGAAAAAAAAAACACTAAAATAAAGAAAGAAGTGAAAGAAAGAGATTTAAAATGTAAAGAAATGTGGATGCTCAAATGTTTTCTTCTTGTGCCAAATTCAATAATTGGCCGATGCTTGCAGAAAACATCTGAAAGGGATGAGCATCCTCCATCGATTTCACCTGCATAAAACAAAACAATGGATAAACACAAGGTAAAACGCATTCCTAAATCCTAGAGAATTCTGTACTGATTAAATTATCTGCATGAACCTGCAGTCTACGGTCTGGTTTCTGCCTAGCAAAAGGTGGAGAACCCTAAATCTCCATTCTCTACTTTCATGGAAGGGCCACCAACAGTCACTGCCACAGGTCAGATATTTACACCAAGCATGCAATTTAGGACACATTTTCAACATAAAGCAGAAGCTCGATATTTCCCTACAATATTCCACAAGCAGAACCCCAAGAAAACCAGCAACAAATGTGACAGGTAATGAATCACAAACAGCCTTTCAAGTAGGCAGTAAAATTTTGAATAATGTATCAAAGATTATCCCCAGAATTCAATGCAGAAAAGAAAAATGAAAGGTCTGTAGTTGATCACTGCCAGTTTTCTGCACTTGTTCTAAAACATTAAACAAAGAAGAAACAATCATGTGTAAACTTCAGTCCACTGCATACGTCAAGAAGCACCGTTGGTTTTGTCTAGCTGTGTGACACGCGAATAAACATTTCCCCATTCAGTCCTTTCAGATTTGGGTACAGTTGCATTGCTGAAAGTAGGTAGCCAATCATCAGGGCAATCATTTGCCTGAACCCACGTGAGAGACCGTGGTGGGTTTCGGAAGTCAAAGTTCATATCAGAAAAGTCTCTAATGTTTGATTTGGATTTCTTTTTCTGGTGATCTGAAGGGTTACCAGAAGCCTGCTTGGATGTCTTTTTCCTTTGATCGGAAGGGCCATCAGAAGGCTGCAAAACAAATCAAACAGTTTCATTTTCTTCATAAAAGCACACACATGTATGCCAAATTATGATGAGATAATTTAGTGTTTTGAGGGCTGTGGTATACTATCAATATGACTGAAGGAAGATTGTCACCAAACCAAACATTTATGCCTGACCGTAGCATTAGCATCAGATTTCAACTTTTTCTTGCGCCTGCTTCCTGTCTCCAGGAATTCGAGGACCTCGACCTTTGATCGGAATTTTAGCCCTGATGGCGAAAAGAAATACTGCACAATAAAAACCACAAATTGGTATTATTAAAGCGCCATAGATCAACTTCCAGGCACTTTGCTGAATAGGCATAATACAATTTGCATATTTGTACAGAATCATCAGAGCGCCAGGAAAGGCAGTAAAACAAACTAATGACAAAGTCAACAACAAAATTGACATCCCCTACAATGCAAACTCCTGAGATGTTATTGCAGAAAAACTATGAATATGTAAAAACTCCACTTAACTTAGTGCAGAAAAACTATGAGTGCTCAATCAAACTGCTAAAAATAAGAATACCCATACTTCACTCAATATAGCAGACACACAAACAACTTTATTTGCAGATGCGGTTGACCAAGATTGACTACAACAATCAACAGCCTATAACTAGCTGAATCTAGCTAACATTTTAAAATAGCCTGGATGCACAGAGATATATGCCAATGTTCAGAGAAACAAATGAGAAGAGTATGCAATTGGCCACCCAGCAGGCATTCGTGTGAAACCATTACTATCTTCTAGGAACACCACATGGGGATCTATCGTTGCATGAAAAATATCTTCTCACAAATAAAAGATTAAGAGCATATTCAAAGATTTTGAGCAAATATTCCCACAAATTTTAACTACTAAATCGCATGTTAAAAAAAACCAATAGCAGATCTAATGCCATAAACCTCTTCCGTTGCATGACTGTTAATGCAATTTATATGTCCAAAGTATTTTAATACACACCGTTTAGCCACCCAAGTCACTTGGCCTTCAAAAGTTGCATGCTGCCACAATGAAATGCTCATGTCAACCGTGAATTATTGACCAAAATGAATGTGCAAATAATTTAACAGGTAAAGCCGATAGCCAAACAGGAGAAACTCTCAACACCAATGATGGGAAACTAGAAAAACACGATAGCCACTACTAAGACAAGAAAGAATAAAGGAAAGGAAGGAAACCGTAAAGCTCACATCAACAACCCTATCAGAATTATCTTAGGAAAAAACAGTGGAAGTATTCCATATAGAAGACAACCTCCAAAACCATAACCCTGCCTTTCTAATCAATTTTGGAGGGAAAATCACAAGCATATCCTTTCAAAACTTTTATAAATTTTGATCAAGGTCATTTATTTTCTAGATGCAGAGCCAGTCTTCACATCGCTAAACAGTTAAAAACAGAAAGAGTCTTGAGCAGAACTTACATATAAGTCCTCCTAAACAGTTACCAATGAGGTGGAACTGATCTCCTACTTTCACTTGACGACACCCACCAGAATTAGAAATGAACAACCTAAAGATAACATGTATCTACATATAGAAGTCAACTAACAGAAGAAATTACTTTGTCAGTGTTGCCAGCAGTTTTACCGGCAGTACGGACTTTCCATGTGAACCCCCAGTCCAGCGGCAGCCAGTCTGGTCTCACCACCAATGCAGTGCAACCCTTCCTAGCTTGAGGACCCATCTTTGTTAGCTGTTGCAACATCAGAGTTGCAGGTGCAGTTTCCAACATAGAACCAATCTTCATTTGCCCCTCAGCATGGTACAAAGTTTCATTATACATGCCATTATCACCAACAGATTCATGACCGACAAATTCATGAGACCCACCTTGGTTTAGTTTAAGATTACTTTCTTTATCATCATGAGATTTTTCCCTAGGTAACTCGATCTGCTCCTCGGGAGAAGCATTGAGGTCAATCAAGGCCTTATCATTCAAGGGAGGTGCTACAAAATGGTAGCTGTGTGAAAAGCGGTCAGCCATGTTGGAGAGTTGTGAAGCTCTAAATCTATCAGAAACTTAGAGATGGGTTCCAGAAAGCGATGAGTTTGATTGACAGCTACAGGATCAGAATGGCAACTCTTGGACCAAGCACAATGCAGTGAATTAAAGATATGCGATAAATGGGCATTTATGTTGCAATAAAAAGAGAATCTAGGACTGGATATCGGTCGGAATACAATGACTTCATGATTTTTGCTTGTCATCCATCACAGCACATCAATAACCATGAAAAACATACGTATACAAGCGAGTGTAAAAAGAAAAACAGTCAATGAGAAAATTTTCACAAAGAAATCAGTCATCTTTCATCTTCTTACCATATTTATTCAGTTAATGCTTACCTTAATGCAACTTCAACTTTTATGCTTATTTCAATCTTATCATATTCAATGTGTCCTAAAATCTTGCAAGCCTGATGAAAAGTATCCAGTAACCTCATAATGGGAGTGATTTTTCTCTTTATTGCGATCAGTATTCTCATACTTACCCCATATTTTGCAAGGGACTCTAAAATGTTAATAACGAGTTGTGGATAATCCATAACTCATCAAGAAATTTAAAAAAAAAATGTATATAACAAGATCTCAATAATTTCAACTATCACAAGTAAGAACATTCTAGTTGTCTCAGCAAAGAACTCAAGTATGAGTCTTCTTTCACTTTTTCTTAGGCACATTTTACATCTAACCAGAGATTGCAACAACAACTAAACCTGAAGACAAATTTTTTGTGCAATTTAACCTCCTAGATAGAAACTTGCAAGGGAAGAAACAAAAAAACATGAAGGCAAAAGGGGGAGAACAAGAAGCTTTCAACCAAAGGAACTACCTTAAAAAAAGAAGTTCAAATAAACCAAATACTCAGGAGATTTCTTCAGCTTCTGGAAATAGATAAATCTATGGCTTAATGATATCCACAAGTATTCTAGAACAGCTTTACCAAAGTCACATTAAGTTTAGTGTGGCAGCTTTTTAACCCCTCGAAGTCAAAAAGTTTAAAGGACTTATGGCTTCAATAATAAATTTCCTCCACAAATAGATTTGAGGTATTTTACTTCAAATGACAAGGTTACAAGTATTCCACTGAGCTAGATATATTTATTTATGGTTTGTCTTACATTCTTATCAAATAGATTTCAAAGATTTCTTGACAGGATTGTAGAACAAATGACATTTCAGTTGATATTCAGCTATTTAAAAAGATATAATCACTTGTAAAGCATTTTGGTTGGCCTTAACTACTTCTTACATACATATACCCAAATACAGGAAGAAAGGGAGTATCAAAGAGAGATTGCATCCTAGGTTCTATAAGATACCACAAAGAAAGTCTTTGGATTAAAGTAACTGTGATCATCCTTGTAAGTTAGTAGTAAGTATGCCATCAACTCTGCTTTTTAAACAGAGATATCTTGCAAAATCCCATTAAGTAATGATTTTGAGAATGGTTGAGCACCATAGTAATAAAAGGCACCAAAATTAGCACAAAAATCAGCAAATTGCAAAGTGATAATGTTGAGAAAAAAATGTATGCATTTTGAACTAGATGTATACAACAGAGTTTCATAGCTTCACTTCATATTATGAGTTTAAAAATACTAAAAAAAAAAAAAACAAAGGCACAGGTGGAAGGAAATGGATAAATCCTTTGCTACCAGATTTAACATTAACAAGAACTTAGTTCACAGGAAAAATAAGTTTGACTATCTTTCAATCTCCTATGCTGCTATGCATCAAACATATCAAGAAATTGCGGTCAACCTTTGCAGCTGCAAAACACAAGTGCATTCCACTAAAACTCTTCCAAGTTCTAATATAAAAATAATTGGCTTCATTCAATGGCAAATTAGGTAAAATTTGCAGTGTTATATGCAATGTCATTAACATTTGTGTGAATTTAAAATAATAAACTACATTGACAGTGACCACAGATGGTCACAAAGAACAAAATTTATCAGCAATAATTGGTAATAGATAAAGAAGTATGCACTTAATGGCTAACTAGCAAAAAACACCAAAATCACATCTCTTAACTACTCCAAGAAAAGTCCCCCCCCCCCCCAACCAAAACACACACACCAAAAAAAAAAGGTCATTGATGCGAGCCCGCCTAGCACAAAATTTGCAGTTATGAAGGCTTACAGATGAGTCCTAAGATTCCTGATTACACCTTATTTCTCGCAGGTTCTTGTGTCAACTAAAACACCAAAAATAACACGCTACTACTAAAGTTCAAAGAGAGAGAGAGAGAGAAGTCCAAAAATTAACTCAACAGTGACCATTGCAATTAACTGCAATGTTATGGAGGCAAAAATTTCCATCCTCAATATCCACAATACAACTATCGATACAAAGCTACTACATTTCACCTAAAACACAAACACAACCAAAAAAAAACAAATTTAATAATAGCTTCTAAACAAAAGTGAAAGATATTGTCTGGAGAGAGAGAGAGAGAGAATTACTCTGTCAGATGTTCCAGCAGTGGCGCCGGAGGTTCGGACTCTCACTTCTATCTTCCAATCGTCCGGCAACCAGTCAGGCCGCTCCGCCATCTCCTCTACTGGTCTTCTCGGCCGCCGTTGTGACAGTGGAGTTACTTCTATAGCAACAGAGGCCATAGGAGTGGCTGAAGGTTTGGTACTGGTTTCCGCCGGGGCAGGCTTTTCCTCTGCTGATGCTGCGTCGTCGACCTTCTGGTCGGGGTCGATAAACCAACCGGTTTCTAGCAGCGGGTCGGGAAGTATTTGATCGTTCAAGGCTATGTCCGGGTCGACCAGGTTGGAGCCTTGAACCGGATTTTGTAGGCCCGAGAAAATGGGCTCGGACATTTGGGTCGAAAGAGTTGTATGCCGGGAGGGAAGACGGGCGTGAGAATTTAAATCAAATTCCGCCTACCGGCTGATTAAAAAAAAAAAAAAAAAAAAATTGGCTAAGGTTTGTTTAATAGATGAATGGTTTTTTCTAGCTAAGGTTAAAACAAACTAACTAAGCTTCATTAAATAATGATTTTTTCAAAATATCCGTTTGAATTGCTATTTCCTAGAGTTTTCGTAGATGAATGTATTGTAATAATTTGATGTATATGAGGAATAAAGATAATTGAAATATGTGTTGATGAAGAATTGTAAAAATTTTTTGAAAAAAAAAAGACTTTCCAAACATATGATTTATGTGTCATAAAACTTTGATCTTATCGCCACTCTTAAATAGTGATCACTTCAACCTCTAGTATATTTATACATTTTTAGACAAGAAAATATAAGATCCTCATCCGCAAGACTCAAAATTGTTGATGAATAAATAGTATATATTTAGAACTAAACTCTTTCGCAAAATATTGAAAATTTTAGAGAATTGTAGAAGGGCATACCATGTTTGAAGCTATGATGTCGAAATTTGAGTTGTTCCTGTTCGTACTTTGTAGGCCTCAAGATTTTGGAGGTGATTGTCGAAAACAAATTATTTGCTGACAAATTCAAGCAAATCAGGAAATCAAAAATCTCGTTAAATTTTAGCTTTGCTGCAAATTTTCGCTCTTTTGATGACTTTGCTGGCTTCACAACTTCTCTCTTTTCCTTCTCTCTGACGGAGTTTTTCAAAATACAATGAATGGGTTATTCTGTAACCTTTCCTTTTCCTACTCTAATTTTTTTTCAAAATATGACAGAAGGGCATTTTCCTATTTCCCTATTTATGAGTTTCTTTTTTTTTTTTTTTGGCCTAGAATGACATTGTTCCAATTAAACTTTTCATGGCTTCATTTACATCATCCAGTTGGTAGATTTTATCTGAACATTAAACTTTTCGTGGCTTTATTTACATCGTCCAGTTGGCAGATTTAATCTGAACGGTAAGCTTTTCATGGCTTCATTTGCATCATCCAGTTGGTAAATTTAATCTGAACGGTAAGCTTTTCGTGAAATTGTCTGAAAGGAGAAGCGAACCAAATTATGCGGTTATATTGAATTGGATTACAATGGTAGAATTTTTTAACTTCATTCACCTGGATGATATTCAAATCATGAATTGACATATTATTGTTTTATACAAATGACAATTACACACCAAAATCCTATTGCATGCTAGGAGGAGTGCCGAAATTATTTTTAAAGTGAAGTTCATGCTAGCAGGAAAGTGAAAACTTCACTTGCCTTATTTAATGACGATTTTATTTGCAGTAGATTAGGTAATTATCACTCTATGGATTGTAAATTATTTGAGATAATTTTGTAAAAAAAGTACTGTAGCACTTTTTTGATATGATATATGTGAGATAAAAAGGTGATTGGAAAATGTGTTGATTATACAAGCAAATCAGTGTGTGTCAATAAGGTGTAAATAAAATGTAAGTTTTTACTATCCAAACACGGTGTTGAATTTATGGCTTGGGCCTTGGTGCTATAGTCCCAAAACCAAAAAAAAAAAAACCGTATAACACTGAAATTATTACATTTGGTCACTCACATTTTAAAGCCATTGTATCTTGATCTCAAACTTTAAACAAAAAAAAAAAAAAAAAAGTTAATATTGAGCTCAATACTCTAAAATACTTAAAATCTCAATTTTATTGAGGTTTCCACAGTATAAAATCTATTACTGTGATCATAATGGTCGCATAAAGTACTCAGCCTAAGTATATAATATTTTGAAATATCATTGAACTTTTCTTGTGTTTAAACGCTATATGTTTAAATACACGCTATCCAACGCAAACATGTATCTCTGTTCCTTTTTCTGTGTCAAAACACAAAAACATATCCCTTTTTGCAAATTCTAATGAATATTCAATTGATAGTTTACCAACTATATATTGGATCTTGCTCCTAGTAATATTAGGGCTTTTATATTGTGCCACAAAGGCATAAATTAAAGAGTGGATTACTTTGTTGGAAATGATTTTTGTGCTAAAGTGTATGTTACTCGGAGGTGGGCAATAATCTCTACTTTATAATGGACTCACTTCTTCTTCTTCTTTTTCTGTAATTAACCCTTTGTCTAGGAAACAAAAACCATACTAGTATCATTCACACAAAAAAGAAGAAAAATAAAAAAAAAAAAGAAGAAAGGCCAATTAATCTTCTTAAGGTATTAGTTTTCATTTTCAGTTTAAACTTTAAAGTATTTCCTGATTTTTCATGAAGACTATAAACTAGTATTCTTTATAATAATAAAAAAAAAAAAAGAAATTGCATACAGACTATAGTTTCAAAAAAAAAAAAAAAAAACTAGTGTTCTTATCGATTTTGTTTGGCTTAGTAAATAAGTTTTCCTTACTCCGTCAACCCCATCAAGTCGAACTCCAGAGACCTCTTCATTCACATTCGTACATCAGAATCAGGTAAAATTATAACTCAATAAACCCATAGTTATTATTTTTTTTAAAATGTATACAAGTCAAAATACAGAGAAACGATCACCGTATTTGCAGTTCTTGATTCATACATAAAAAGATTATTGTGTTTAACTTGACTGGATTACATAAAAATCCCAACTTGGATCGGTTTATTTCTGGGTTTGGCTGAATTCAGTGATGTTTTGATGGGTTTTTGGTTTAGTTGATAAAATATTATGTAGGGTTTTGTAATTTGTTGATTATTGTTCGATTATGGCCACGGTTGTGTTGAGTTATGTGCAAAATTTATGGCCTTTTTCTATCTTGAAAGATGATTTGAGGGTTTCAAATAGTTTAGTGAAGAAATTGCCAATACCCGAAAGCACAAAAAGGTTTGTTTATGCTATCCAAGAGCCTGAATCAGGGGCCGTGATATATGTTCTCTGTGTTCAGAATTTATCAGAAAGGTCAGCTTTAGATGCTGAATGCCTTATTAAAGTGGTTAAACCTGATGCCGTGCTCGCCCAGGTTGGTCCCTCGATCGAGGGGAATGAGTTTTCTATGGAGAAAATTGCATCTGAAGCTTGTAGTAGCCCAGATAGTTATTTTAGTGCTAAGAGTGATGATAGGAGGGGTAATGAGTTTCTGTTGCCAACATCGGCATTTGAGGTATTAAGGAGGTGTTTTTTGCATAAAATTAATAAGGAGAAGTATGAGAATGTGGCTGGGAGTTTGGTATTGAGGGAGATTTTCGGGGTCAGTTTTAATGGTCATTTCTTCTCGGCTAAGAGGGCTGCTGAGGAAGTTGGTGCGGCATTCTTTTTGCTGGAGTCACCTTTTGTGAAATGTAGTGGTGATGGTAAATGCTCTTCGGAGATGGACAACGAGGAGGAGGAGGTGGTGGAGGTTGGGTTGGGAACTGGTCTTCGTGGCTTTGGTATACAACCTAATAGTTTGGTTCCTCAGAAAGGGATCTCAATGGCGTCAATGAGTTTAAGGCGGTTTTCTGCTATGAATGATGTTCAATCCTGGATGGTGAAGTCCTTGTCCAGAGAATTGAGTAACTTAAGTTCTGTTCTAAAGGTGGGTTCTGAAGATGTTCAACCCAGGGTTGATTATGAGGCCCCACAGTTTTCACAATCCATCTATCCCTTACTCGTTGATTTACATGATATTTTTGTTGACATCCCATATATGGGCAGTGCTCTAGCTCATGCTCAAAAGATGCTTTCTGCTATTAATAAGGGAGAAGCTGTTGATGGCCAGCTCCTTTCAGAAGTTCATGTATTTCGGATTGCTGTTGAGGGATTGCGGATTGCTTTGAATGATGCAGCTCGGCTCCCTATTAACAAATTGGGGAACCCTCTCCCCTCTAAATGTGAGTTTTCGGAGCTTCCAGTTCAGGAAAAGTCCCATGCACTCATTGCACAAGCTCTTCAAAGCCAGACTACAAAGTTCAAATCAATTGTAGCACTAGTTGATGCTAATGGCTTAGCAGGCTTGAGAAAACACTGGAATACTCCTGTTCCAGTGGAAATTAAGAACATGGTTCAACAGCTGGTTACTAATTGTGAGAATGACAGGAAAATACTCAGCGACAAGAAGGCGTTGCTCTCAGCAAAACCAATATTAGCAGTTGGGGCAGGTGCAACAGCAGTGTTAGGAGCATCTTCCCTCTCCAAAGTCGTTCCAGCATCATCTTTGGTCAAGATTTTGACCTTCAATGTTCCTGCTTCGCTCAAACTTATGGTGACTCAAACCTATAAGGTTGTTGCTCTTACATTTGGTAAAAGTGTTGGTCCTTCAAAAGTGATCGCACCTGGAGTGGCAAGTGGAGTCAAAACGTCTTTTCTGAAGGCAGCTGCTTCTGCTGAGAAAATTCGTGCTGTAGCTCATAGCATTATAGCTTCTGTTGAGAAAACTAGCCTTTCTGCCACAAGAACTGCATTCTATGAAATAATGAGGAAACGGCACGTTCAGCCGGTTGGCTTTCTGCCATGGGCTACCTTTGGATGTAGTATTGCTACTTGTGCAGGATTGCTTATGTATGGAGATGGAATAGAATGTGCAGTTGAATCTGTTCCTGCCGCTCCTTCAATTGCCAGTTTAGGGCGTGGCGTCCAAAGTCTACACCTGGCATCTCAGGCAGTCCGGCAAGCTGAAAGCTCCAAAATACAAAAGTCAATAGAATCCCTTCTTGATAGATTTAGGAAGATGAAGGTTCAATGATGACAATTTAACAATAATCTAAAGTTGCAAATTGTTCCGACTTTAATTTATCCTATAATGGAATACATTAAAACGTATGGTGTAAATACAGTTCAGGAAGAGGTGTTTAGCAACTTGTTTTTGTAATTCTTGTTGATATGTTGTCTGTATACGAGATTCTTATTTGTGATTGTGGATGAATAAAAGTTGGCACAAAGCTTGCACCCGAGTTCCTTGTCTCTTGATCTTTCAAGCAGAAACTAGGATAAGAGTTTCAGAAATCTGTGTCACCATTGTCAGCAAGC